CTAGCCCATGTTTTCGGCCCAAGCATAAAACAAAAAAAAAATAAAATAAAAGAAAGGATGAAATGAGGGTTGACATTAGTGGTGCCACCTCATAAATGTACATAGGATATCAATGCACCATTCTCATATCTCCATGCAAGTCAACTCACCTCTCTCTCCCCTCTCCTTTCTATCCTCGGCCGAGACCACAAACCCCCACCACCCTCTTCAATCTTCTCCCCAAACTCTCTCAAATCTTACAAGAACATTTCCTCACTTTCATCACATTTTCGAGATTTACTTAGGTTTCAAGAGGATCTTCATAAGATAATCATCATTTTTGGTAAGCCTTTACACATTCAAGTTTCATAACTCCATCTTCATGATAGATCACTCTTTTAAACAAAGTGTTTGGTGATCATACTCCTAGAAATCTTCTTGAGTTCGAGATCTACTCAAGGGAGTTGCTAGGGCCGAAAATCACTTCATCTTTCCACATCTTCTTCAAAAACCGAATCCACAAACTCAAGGTGAGTTCATACCCCTCTATTTTCGGTTTTCATATGATTACAAGTAAAATGTGAAGATCTATGTGTATTTGTATGTTATGTGTGATTTCTTGTGTTTATGTGGTAAATATGTGCTAAAAATGAAATATATTTCGAGATCTATAGTTCAAGAAGGAAAAATATGTGATCTAGGGTATATTTCACTTAACATGTCAAGATAAACTACCATACAAAGTTTATAATAAACATACTACAACATAAAATTTGTTATTGGACTATTTTTTGATAAATAAACAAAAGATGGGGAAAAAGATGTCATTCACGGTTTCTACAAGGATCAAAAGGTCAAAACAGCTAAAATAAGAGTTTTTATAAATAGTAGGCTTTTTAAAGGACTAAAAATGTAAATTTTAGCCTAATTGGCTAAAATTTGGGTTTTTCGGCTATTTAGGCCCAAAAATGCGAGAAATCAAATTTAAGGGGGCTGAATTGGAAAATTTTCTCAAAACAGGGGCTATAAACGTAAATAAACCTATTTCAGGGGTTAAAATGGCCTTATTTATCAAAAGGGACTAAAAATGCAAAGATTTTGGATTTTGGGTAAAATTTGTAAAAATTGTGAAAAATGTGGATTTAAATGCAAATCTTTTAACTAAGGGGCTGAAACTGTCCAAAATAAAATTTTGGGCTTAAAACATTATTTAATTAAGTGTTTAGGCCAAAAATGTCAAGAAAAATAGTTCAAGGACCTAATATGTCATTTTTCATAAAAATGGCTAAAAATTGCCAACTTTACCAAAATAAGGGGCTGAATAGGTCAAACTAATATTTTTGGTCAATTATGTTAATAATAAAATAATTTGGTCAAAATATACAAAACTTTATAACTTATGAGTTTAAATAGAAAAATATCTATTTTTATAAATCTATGAATCGTTATAAAACAATTTGGTGATTATTACGACATATCGATTAAACAACTTCGCAAGACTAATACTATACAAAACAAGTAAACATTCTAACTGTTGGGCTTGAAAGATTCTAATCATGCTTATTGGGCCTTCGTGACCCATTAACATGACTTTTGGGCCTAACATAAATAATACATGTTATTGAGCCTCCTGTGACCCGATTACATGCTTAAGGGACCCTCAATGGCTTTTACATGTTATTGGGCCTCGGTGGCCCATTAGCATTGCTAGTAAGGTCCAAATAAATCATATGCGAAATGGGCCAACGCGTCTTTCGTATACTCGACAGCCTTAAATAACATACGTAATTAGTAGGGCCTAGTAGTCCTCTTCTCCTCGTCTGTTAGGCTTACCTTCTATTCAAGTAAACAAAATCAGGTCATTAATCAAGGTTAATCAAATTCATTTGGATTAAGTGAGTAATAACGGGCGACACCAATAAGTGTCGGTCGTAGTCTGTAGTTATAATCAAAGTCTCATGGAGGGAGAGCGAGAGTTTGTGTATAGATCTATACGTGGGTGACTCCCCCACACCTAAGTTGTTCGCTACAGTTAGACTCGGCTAGTCTAGGGTGACAAAATCTTAAGATCAATTCTGGCGTTCACTAGAATGCCAAGACAGACGAACTAGTCATTATCATGCATGGTTATAACGACTCACATAGAGATCCAGTACCATCTAAGTAATCATGGGAAATCATATTCATTCGCTATGACTATACAATAATACAAAACAATCATACTATTTTATAGGAGAACATCGGGTTTTCCGGGGAAACCAATCTTATTCACTTGTACTTTCAATAACTATAATGCAAAACTTCTCATTTATACACGTTTTGAAATCATTCACGCATATACTTACAGGATCATCACAACATTTTCGTGAAAAGTCTTATTACAGAAAATATCGGATTTTCTGGGTTTTACAAACGACATAAACTATTTTACATCAAACATACTTATGAACTCACCAACATTATATATGTTGACCGTTTTCAAAATAACTTGTATTCTCAGGTAACCGTTAGAACGAGGAAGCATCCAGTGTGTTGAAAGTTTCTTTTGTAGTTGCTAATTATCAAACACTTTATATTTTGGGATCATGTAATGTAAACCATGTACTTGATGTAAACAATTCCAGTTGTACTATGTAATGTTTGGTGATAAATGTGTTATGTTTCATGTATATTCATTGTGATGATATTTCAATTTAAGTCACGCGAGCCCTCAGACGTTTCCGCCGTCTGGTTCGGGGGTGTGACAAGGGCCCAATATGTGGTTATTATGTATGGTATGTGGTATTTTGGGGAACTCACTAAGCTTTGTGCTTACAGTTTTTATGGCTATGGTTTCAAGTACTTCTGGTTCGAAAGGAAAGGTCTTGACTTGATTGAAGCGCATCCAATCATGTTCTGCATCATGTTGATTTTGGGATTATACTCTGATAACTGTTTTCTTATATAGTACTTCTGAATAATTGGAAAAGAAGGATACTAAATGTTGACTCAAAGATAATTAATGTTTTGGTTAAATTAAAAATGAAATTTTTACCTCATAATTTTGGGTTGTTACATTGGATCTTTATAATATTGGTTTTTGCACTTTTTCATGATTTCCTGATCTTCATACATGTAATCTCTTGTTGACTTAATGACTTTTGATAGTTTTTTTTTCTTTTTTTCACAATGTTTTTCATTTTTTTTATACTCACTTTTTTCACTCTTCTAAAAACTAAATACATATGCTTAAGCTCGGAAACTTAACTTGAACCTGTATTGGCTAACAATATAGTCTAAAGTTTAATGACTAAAATAAAACTTCAATGGTAGTAAACAATGCAAAACTTTTTGTATCCCTCAAACTACACAAGTTTACATATCTTATGATTTCACTAAAGCTAGAAAGCCATAATTATACTACAATATATCTACGAAAAAAACCTTAGGATTTGTTTCAAATTACCCTACATAACACTAATAAATTCCATTTTAATGTCACTTTATCAAAGAGAAATTTTTAATTAGACCCATAATCCTAATTTTCAATCCCCATACCCCAAAATTAAGTTATACAATTCCCTCATTGTATACATAATGAATTAAACACAAAATAAAAGAGAGAGAACAAGAACAAACTCCCCCTTGGGCATATAGTGACGAGATCGAACGATTATCTTGGAATGCTTGCAGATAGAAAGGTTGAATCTTTCGATTAAACTTGATTGATATTAGAAGTCAAAAATATCATTGTTGATAATAGGAACACTTTGGAAGTGAGATATGGTATATAAATGCTTGAGACATGAAGTGTGAATGAATATGGGGATTATTTGTGACACATAATCTCCCTTTTATAATTGAGAGATTTCCATCATGAGTAATATCGTTGCCACGACACGTAATGAGGATTGACGTGCCACAAAGTGGAATAGTAAGAGTGTTTTCGTGGAATAAAATTGATAATGAGATTACTTAATTAACACTACAAGAAAAGAGGGTATCAGAGACTGGCATAATTAGTCTCAGATGGTCAACAATCAGTCGCTAATGAGAATCGAGGACTGATTTAGCTAGTCCCCATTTAGTCTCAGATGTCTCCATTCTTATGTTTTTCACTTCTTTACACTTTTCCGCACTTTTGTTTTACCTTTAACTTTATCACCCCTTTGTTTTACCTTTAACCTTATCACCGAAACGTGGCAATCAAATTTTTCTATCTTAACTCTCTTATCTTTAGCCATAGCTCTGATACTAGTTTGTTGGGTGACCAACAAAAGAAGTTAATCACTTCAGACAAATGATAAACAAACTTCGGTGAAACTTGTGGAATAAAATTTCTGAAAAATGAAACCAAAAAATGAACACAATATTTAACGTGGTTCGATCAAAGTGACATATATGGCTACGTCCATGGGAGAACGAGAGGGGGGGGGGGGGTTATTAAACTTTCAAGAACAATTACAATCACACACAAATGCTAAACCCCACTTGAACTCTCAAAATAAAAGAATCTCTCTTACTTACGAACTAGTCCAAACAATGTGCTCTCAACCTCACAATTATTGCTCTCTTTAAAAAAAATATACGCAAGGAATAATGAATGGGGAAGGCCCATCCATAATTAGCCCTATAAATAGGCAAACATGGAAAACTCTAATTCTGATACGTCAGACTCATCCATAATTAGCCCAAAATGGGGTACCCTAATTTCAAACTAATCATAAGATTCCATGCATGTTCTTTTGGAACCTTCAACCTTGAGAGACAATACATAAGCGCAGTCACGCCTATGGAGCGCACCATGCATGATGCCATAAATGCATATCATGCTCCATGGGTGAGTACCCACCTTGAGCACCTTTAACATCAAAGCAACTTGGGACTTCCTTGAACATCCTAGTGCACCTCACAGCCAAATGGGTGCATCATCCAAGCTAACGGTGCACTCTATACCAAAGGGGTGCATCATGCATGAAAATGACGCATCATGTGCCATGATGACACATCATTTCCCTTGGTAGCGCATCCTCCTTCCAGTATCACATAAGCATCACATCACTACTATGTAGCTCATTAGGACCACCAAGATGACACATCATGACCACTAAGTGGAGCATCTTATCCAACAATGGCACACCTTGTGCCACCAATGGCACATCTTGATCCTTTGTTGCGCATCTTCTGATGCTCCACTCTGTTGTCAGACGCTTCATCTTAACTCCAAGTGTTCCATTAGGATTCTCGTTGCCTCCAAGTGCTCCATTAGGAATCATGATGCTCCATGTGCCTCTAAGTGTCTCATTAGGATTTCTGATGTTCCATGTGCCTCCAAGTGCTCCATTAGGATTCCTAATGCTCCATGCGCCTCTAAGTGTCTCATTAGGATTTTTGATGTTCCATGTGCCTCCAAGTGCTCCATCTGGATGCTCCATCATAATGTTTCATCATGATTCTTGATGCTCCCATGTGCTTCCAAATGCCTAAGTACATTTGATCAAGTCTTCACACCCAAACACATATTTGACATGATGACTCGGTAATGTATATGTAGTCTTGTTGCTTTGGGGTACGAATGCGATATAGAAATTCTACTTTGGATCCTCTTTGATTTGCTTCTTGGTCATCACAAAAAGTAAAACATACAAACTCTCTTGTAGTTTAGTTTTTGCTTTTTGAATTGCATGAGTATACACCCCACGGCTAACTAGATCATGATGCTTTCTTTAATAGTTATTGTTACTTGTTTTACTTTTATGAATTTCGAATAAGCATCGTAATCCAATAAAAATCTCATATCGCTCTATGGAAAACATTATATTATTATACCAATAATATAAATAGTTACCTTTAATATAATAAATAGTTATATTCACGGACAAAGCCATGCCCTGGTCGTTTCTAGGTCATTCAAATTCACCAATTACACCATCCACTAAAATAATAATAATAATGCGTGGTGATGATATTTAGAGGTTATGTATGTGACATTTTAGCCAATGGTGAGCCACCATATTCATTATCTACGCGTCATGATGAGCATTTTTCAAGCATGCAGAAAATATCAACCAAGTATAAAGCATCTCAAGGTAATTCAGTTAACAAGGACAGTGAAGAAATTGAGAATCACCAAGTAATAAAAAAACAACTCAAGGTATTTTGTTTTTTTTGTTTTTTTTTTTGGTACAAAGGAAAAAGGACAAGACTCATTCCGTCAAAAAAAAAATGAGAAAATAGCTATTTTTTTCTAGGGGTGTGTATGGGGCGATTTGGTTCGGTTATTGGTTAAAACCGAACCATAACCATTATGATTGGTTAATGCATTTTGGTAACCATTGGGTATGGGTAATATTGGTTATGGTTAATGGTTTTTATCGGTTAACGTTTTTGGTTAATGGTTATTATTGGTTAACCATAATGTTGAAAATAATATAAATGACAGAAGTATATTGGCATAAAAAATGAAAATAGAATACCAAAAAGTCCTCGACGCCAATGTTTGTAACCTAGCTTATACTAATAGAATAAAATGTGTACCTTTAATATTTAGAGTGAGATAACACATAGTCACATTCAAAATCAAAAACATTCAATAAAAATATAAAACATTAAAAAAAATTGACATTAATAATCTCATATATTGATAATTGATATTAATATTAAAATAAAGCCAAACATTCATACACGTTACGTTCAATACGATTAAATCAAAAACTATAAAATAAAAGAGTCAAACATTTATATTATGTGTTATTGGATAAAAAAAAAGACAATCGCTCATATACATTCAATGTGATTAAGTCAAAACAGGAATTAAAAAAAGCCAAAAAAATACATTCTTAATATATCACAGAGTCAAGAAGAACCAAACACTTAACTTACCTAGAAGTCTTGATTATAAAGTCAAAAAATCATTCGAATAGGACTATAAAGTCAAAACAATCTTTGATTAGGATTAACGGTGTGAGAAGCTTTCGATTACGATTATGAGTGTAAAGATTAAACTACTTGTGAATAATGTTTATAAATTGTAGAATTAGCCGATTAGGAATTACAACATTAATCAATAATCTAACTCAATGCATGATTGGAAGATTGTGTGTGTCTCCGTGATCAGCCTTTGATGGTTTGATTGCTCATTCGTCTCCTGATAAGTGAGGATTAATGGATTATATTTTCAATATTTTAATGGATCTTAGATAAGTTTGACTATATTATTTTATGTATAATCTATAATTCTTATATATTAAAATATAAAGTTGGCGGTTTGGTTAATAATGGTTCGGTTAACCTATAAAACCATAACCGAACCGTTAGTTATCGGTTAACAAAAATTAGAAACCGAACCAACGGTTTTTATAATGGTTCGGTTATTATGGTTCGGTTATATCGGTTAATTTGGTTTTGGTTCGGTTTAGTGGTTATTATGCTCACCCCTATTTTTTTCAAACATATATGGAAATTTAGAGAATTAATTTAGTGAGTTTTGTTACCAAAGGTTGTAGTCTAACGATATCTCAAAACCATTGAGAGTTCAAGTCATTATTAAAATGAAAAATGTATTTTAAAAGTAAAATAAAGGGTATCTTTGTAAGTGTTAGTCATTAAAAAAAATGAAGGATTTGTTAATTTATACATTATATAAAAATTGTTGTTTGTTAAATTTTCAATTTAATTACTTAGAGATTCTCTGACGAATTTTACCATTAAGACTATTTTTTCTTTCTGTTTAACTACCAAAGAATTTTTGTCTGTATAACCTCCATCATTCTTCGATGCTGTTTGTTTTTTCGAAGAGAAAATACATGAAGTCAGCGGACCACCTCTGCAACCCTCTGTAGCAGAAGAGGAGGACCAAACGGCTGCAGCATGTAATAAAAAGTCTGTCAATAAGTTAAAGTAAGATGTGAAGAGGTTTGAAGTAGATGGTAAAGTGTTGCGCCACGCAGCACACGCGCAACAGTTTTTAAGTTAGAAGTCTTCTGAAAAACAAATAGATGCGAAGCGCCAAGTGCTGCGCGGCGCAACAATAAGTGGTCAGAAGTGGTTTTTTAGAAAAAAAAAAACAAATAACACCTTCGTGTCACGATCAAAATGGATATACACGCCATAGTCCACACACATAACTGATACAAATATCATTTACCTAAAATACTTGATAGACACTAAGGTGCCGTTTGTTTTTTCGAAACAAAAATGTATGAAGTCTGCGGACCACCTCTGCAACCCTCTGTAGCAGAAAAGAGGGACCAAACGGCTGCAGCATGTAATAAAAAATATGTTTGTTTTTTAACCTCTGCAGACTGCTGCAATAAGTTAAAGCAAGGTGTGAAGAGGTTTGAAGCAGAGGGCCAAGTTTTGCGCCACGCATCACACACACAACAGTTTTTAAGTTAGAAGTCTTCTGAAAAACAAACAGATGTGAAGGGTCAAATGTTGCGCGTGTACTGCGTGACGCAACAATAAGTGCTCAGAAATTGTTTTTTAGAAAAAAAACAAACAGCACCTAATATTATCAATATTGGTTTAGAGAAGTGATTAATACACATATTTTTTTCTCTATACATAACAATTTATATTTTAAAATATCAATTTATGTTTTAAAATATTATATTATATAACTTTGTAAAACATAAATTGTTATGTATAAAGAAAAATTGTTGTGTACGAATCACTTTTCATTGATTTATCATCTTCTTATTTGTTTAGTATAGTTAGGTTTACTCATCATTGTATTAATTTCGTATAGAGACATTCAATCCTCAGTAAGAGTTTCTTGACTTGGTTAAGGTTCTACAAGAAATTCTCCTGTATTTAAAAAAAACAATAAGTGAAAAAATAAAACTTAGGATATTATGTATGAAAGTGACTGCCTACCATTCTTAGAACCGTTCTATCAATCATTATCAAAGAATTATCTTTAAAAAAAAAAAAAATCCGTGGTCATAGATTTATAAGAGGTTTATGATATCGTTATTCTATAGTTTTCATCAACTTTACACACTATTTATCCCCCTTCGTACATTGTTTATATTTAATAAACAGGTCATATTTTAATAATTTAACTTTATATTGAAATTATTTACTTTTACACATAATTAAAATTAAAATATTTTATTTTATATGATTTATTGTATATAAATAAAAACATCAAATAAAGTAAAAATTCTCCAACAAATACTTTAGTGTATAGAAAATAAAAATTACGATCAATCACAAATTTAAAAAATAATAATAATAATAATAATAAAATAATAAATAAATCTTTTTAATTAAATATTAATAACATCCGACAGGATACCTATTATAGGTATTAATTAACCAGATCTTTTTAGTTAAAAAAAAATCACTTATACCAAAAATATACATGGTAAAGCTCTTGTTTTTCTTCACAGCATCTAAAACCTTCTAATATAAAAACAAAAAAATATCAAAACAAGTTCTTTAAATACTTAATTACCATAAAACAACATTAATAGTGGGATGGGACACAAGCACTTGTAAGCAGCAGCTGACCCTGGCCTTTCTGTGTACATGACCCCATTATCACATGACACATGAACATGTTTCTTGACCCCAAACCCATTAATATAACTTATAAAATACCCATTTATCTCAATAGTCAAACATAATTTACTCCAAAGTAAAAAAAAAAAAAAAAAAAAAAAAAAAAAAAAAAAAAAAAAAAAAACACAACACAAGCCTACATATTCAAGAAAACAAACTTTCACTTACACATTATTATCCCGAACTCCCAACATTTGCGGGCTGCCCGGAACCCTGCCAACTAACGGGCAGCGATGAAATCACTTCGGCCCGTAAACGGTCACCGGGCTTCGGCCCATTATCAAGCCCGCTTCTAAGCCACGCAATATTACTTATATCCGTTGCCAAAGCCGCCAATTCATGGCTTGAAAACGACCCCGGTTCAACATAATCCACAAACTCCGGACCCAATATTGACTTTTCAGTTTGACTTTGACTTTGACCACTCGGGTCACAACAACCATGGCCACATTGATGAGGAGCTAACCGTTCACCATACGCACCTTCGAGCAACTTACTTATCCCGAAATCGCCCTTGAGAACAGTCGGCCGATATGTTTCGGAACCGGTTTGTGAGTTGTAAACGTTGAACGCGCTTACGCGGGGTTTCGGACGGAAAAGGGTAGTTTGGTCATTTTGGAGATTGTTAGGGTCACTTGTGATGTCGGGTCCTTCGTGAGGTTTGAAGGAATTGATGTCCCCACATGATAAGGTTTCTTCTGACGATGCTTTTGATCTTTCTAAACTCGGGTCTTCAATGGTGTTACCCGACCCGATGTTGAATTTACCGAGTTCGTGACCTCGTCTTCTTAGGGTTGAATTCCAATGGTTTTTTATTGCGTTGTCGGTTCTTCCTGGTAAGAGTCTTGCAATTGATGCCCATTTGTTTCCGTGAATTGCGTGAGCCGAGAGTATAATTCGGTCTTCTTCATCTGCAGGACAGGACGGGATATGACAGAATAAATAGTGCTGTGTTTGACATGCATTGGATTCAGACTGATGTCAATGGGACAAAAGATGCAATTTATGAAGGTTTACTGGGATTGGGGACTGATGTCCATAGGACAAAAACTACAACTTTTTTTGTCCGGCTTCTCATTTAATCAAACTACTACAATTTAATCAAATAATGTCGCAAATAATTTTTTTTGCCTGATTTGAAAAGTATTTGAGAAAATAACTTCGCACTTGGGGAATGGAAGGAAAATAAAAGAGGGAATGAAAAGTTAGGACTTAATGGGGAAAGCTTTGTTTCGATGTCTTTCTTTGTTAAGTCGTTCTTTCTGCGTTAAGTCAAATAGGAGCCTAAGTGAAGATCCAAGTGCCTAAGTCATATACTCATATACGATCGATTCACCATAGAATCATGATTGATTTATCATTAATCAAACAAGTTACAAGATTCCAATTCTTAAATAGGACTCACATTCTCCACTTGATCAATTGATTTGAGTCATACAATTCAAACCATGAATCTTAGACATGCTTTGAAACAAATACTATACCAACATTACAACATGTTTACAAGTTATGTTAGTATTCCAATATTCCATCAAAGCTAGCATGTTAGCAAGACAAGAATGCCCTCATCTTCACCATCATATGTAGCCCTAGAAAGCTTGTTCAATGACTCCAATCATGTCCAGTCCCCTCAAAACTCTTTATTTTGATTTCAAATCACAATAAACATTTTAAAGTGAAGCACTGCAAACAGCCCCCTTAGATACGGTGATTGTCTCAATCTCCAATAATTTGAAGAACATGAAACATGATGATTCCCAAATCTCACTATTTTAGTTATAGTTCATCTTTTCCCCTAATTTTTGTAACAATTTCAAGTCATAATGCTGAAATATTTATATGATTCAATGTTCAAAGCGCGAAATCATAAATCAGGGAAACTGGGAATTGGAATCAATTCAGACGAGCATTGCTAATCAAACCCTCAATTGAAATCAAGCACACAAAGAAGATACAAAATAAATAATTGAAATTACCAGTAAAGGGTTTGCGCTTGACAGCAGGATCAAGCTGATTACACCACCTCAAACGACATGATTTCCCCGATCTGCCGGGAATTCCACGGGCAATCAAGCTCCAATTCCTCGCACCGAAATTGCTCACTAATCGACTCAGTATGGCGTCCTCTTCAGGCGACCAAGGACCCTTCACTCTATCGCCGGTCCTCTTGCCGGCGCGACCACCACCGCCACTAGCACCGCTGGCCCCAACTCCATCTCCGACAGTAACTGGGTCAGAGTCATCGGCGTCATGGTTTTCAGTGGCAGCGGTAGTGACGTCGCCGCCATCGTCTAGGGGTGCTGTGAAATCCTCAATTTTGGCGGCGTCTTGGTCTTGATCTTTGTCCATTCGCAGCGAAGTTGACTGGTTTCAACTGCTGGAGTGTGTGACAGGGGGAGATTGACGAACAAGGTGAAATGAGTTGCGAGGCAAAGTGTTTTGGGGGACGTCCCCTTTCAGTTCATGTTTCGGCGACAAAATTTATAACTTATTGGAGATTTAGAAAATATACAAATGAAATGACACGGGTCTACCATGTCTTCTAGCACAAAATCCAAACTCCAACTTTAGGTCTTTAGTGAACTTTAAGAATGGTGATTTCTCCTAAGTCGATGACCACTCGGATGTAATGAAACTTCTATCGAATGTGTTGAGTCCTCTTACTTCTTTAGGCTTCTTTACTATTGCTATAGCATTGATACTGTCACAATATATTTGTGTATGTCTTTCAATGCTCGACACAAAGATGCCTCATTCGTGATGAAGAAATTGTTATTTGAAACAAGAATCATCTCGATACGTTTGGAAACTCACATCAATGTAACATTTTACATCAAATCTTTGTAAACCAAGAACGTAATCTTAGTCTTTTGTAAGTACTTGATAATAATTTTCTTTACAACAATAAGTAAGGATCACCAATGATTCTATTTATATATGATTATCATGCATACATGTTGGATCCTATGATTGAAGAATACCATGCATCCATCTCATCTCATGAAGTGTGGTGAGACTTTGAGATTAGCTCTAAACGATGCAATATTGCATTGACAATTTTTAATGTTTAGAATCTTGCATCTTGATCTGTTTCAAGATCTACCTATATATGTACTTTGACCGAGACCATAAGTCATATAAATTGTATGGACCTGTCCTTATAGATCTTGATTTCTAGGTTGTAAGCAAAGATGGAGTGATCAATCGATTTTGCACTTCGTTTATTAGCTATATTTTATTGCAAACGATCATTTTTGCCTAAGAATTACAGTACTTTGATGAATATGTAAATTACGTGTGTAGATGTTAAATATGATGAAAATACTACAAATATTACACAAAGGAAAGATCACGGGATAACACTGTTGGGTTTTTATTCAAAAAATAGTTTCAAAAACATAAGATTTAACAACAGAAAACTTTGTTTTTGAACAACATAAAACAAATTTATAACCAATCATGGATCTTCTTGCAAAGTTTGGAAAGAAAAACAAACACCAAAGAAGAAGATGATGAAATAACAACCTTTGTAGTCCATTGGATCCTCTTGGGAGGCTTAAAAGTTGATGTAGAATGTGGAACCTTTGAGACACCAACAAGTTACCAACTTGATTTAAGATGCTAGTCTTGTAAAACTCATATAACTCTTAAGCTTGAAGTTCATAACCAATATGAACTTCAAAAGAGTAAAATAATAAGCAAGTGTTCTTCAAAAGATGAACAAAATGGGAGAGAATTCACATACACATACAACTTACGTTTTTGGAGTAATAAGGAAAGAAAGAGTGAAAGCCTTTACATAAAACATAATCTTTAAGCATAAGTCATTAACACTTTAAGCACATTATGTCTCCTACACATATGTGTCTCTCATACCTTTTAAGACATGTATTCTTTTTATTATAATAAGAAAAACACAATAACTAGTCTAATTAGTTAGAGAATTTATAAAACAAAGTCAAAGTTTTATAATTTTATAAACTCTCTTATAAAATATAAAACTTAACTTTTGGGATAAAGACAAAAAAAATCTAGTCCAAAAAGATTTACATGACTTGATAAATCATGTCATATCATATATTATGTTACTTGCTAATGAAAAAATATTATTTCCAAGAAATAAATAATTTTCAATTAATTATAAGAGTTTATTGAATATTTATTAAAATCAATTTCTAACAAATAATCAATTAAATCAAGTTTTAGTTAGTGTGACCAATTAATATAATATGTTAATAATTAATATCATTTTAATAAGACTCTTGAGCATACTAGATCTTTCAAACACAAAGAAATCAATATCAAAAGCTAAAAAGAATAAATGAATGCGGGGTCGAGAAGCAAAAAAGACAAGCTAAAGATGGAAGATAAATGATAAACATTTGCAAGATCGAAGGATGAAGAATACGAACGTGTTGGATAGAACGACACAGTAATGAGAAAAAAAGATGTTGTTTGGCAGATTGACCACGTCTCGGTGTTTATCATACCTGATTACTCGGTGCTCCAATTTAGTCTATTCAAGTTGACACTCAAAGAAGACAAAAGACCTACAACTTTTGTGTTTTACATTTTCACTATTTTAGTCGTTATCATTGTCGAAATTTGCATGGAATTCAAGAAAAGTTGTTATGGAAATTCGAAAATTGCATTACAAAACCTTATTTTCGCATCCTACATTTCCAACAATCTAAACCTAAGCCATCTAATTAACCTATAAAGAGACACTTGATCCACCACTATTAAATCATCCCTTCAAGAGTTAAACCCATTATTTGGGAGTAATTCATCTTTTAATATCTTTATCTTTCAACCAATCAATTAATGATGAAGCGTAGAGTCAACCACGACAGGTGGCTAAGCATCTGCGATCATCCTCCGATAAATATGTTTTAGGCTAAAAAAAATATTTATTTTTCCTCCTTGTAATATGACAATTATATTTTATTACTTTATAAATGCAAAGTTTTATTTATAGTTGTTTGAGTTCATATAATTTGTACTTTTATTAAATAAATTAATTATTAGTTTCGCATGTAATACTAATAATTCTACTTACAATGGCGGTGTCTAGAATAGTAATCTTGGCTTGGTTGTTGGATTTCCAAAAATATTATATACCAAAAGTGACATGCCCCCTGACTGTCTTGCATGATCGTTCTTTATTTGATAATCAACATATTATACCGGAATTAATAAGTATTTTATTCAATGCAATTGATTCACGTTAAGACAGACCATTGATGTAACATAGACCGTGTCGAACTCACCCAGCCAAACCATGAAATGTGTCTAATATGTGTCACTTTATTATTTCATGTTACAACTAGAAAAAAATAATAACATAGTTTGATTGCCTTGTGGACATAAGATACTGTGGGGTGGTTGTTTTTTCTCATTGAATTTTAAACACCAATAATAGTTTGCTTTAAGTTTTATAAATTTCGAATTTGCAATTGTCTTATTTTATTTTATTTTCCAAAAGTAATTAACTTCCTTTGCATCTTTTAATTGATTACTTTTAAACACACTATTTACCTACGAATTTTATGTGGAATTGACCCAACTTGCACTAGCTACTTATGTTTTAATTGTTTATTGTTCACTGAGATAACGACCTTAATCACAAAGCCAGTTTAAGGGGTAAAAAGGAGGAGAGAGAATGAGAGAAAATGTGAGGGGAAAATGAAAGAACCAATCAAAATATGCGTCTTCATCCGCCTCCACAACCAAACCATCAGTCCACGGGACGGTGTTCACCGGTGAATTAGTATGCCACATGTGTGCCACATAGAAAACTCACGTGTGGGTTAATGCCCACTCTGGATAGCCTTACGAGCCAACCATCTCTACCACATCTGAACCAATCATTGTCGTCATATGAAACAACCATCATCATCATATTCTTTCTCACCAATGTAGCCCTAAAGCAACACGTATGTGCATTCCGTGATTTTCTTTATGAAATAAACCATAGTTGTTGATTTTCCTTCTAAATTTCTAAGATGAATTTGTTGTTGATTTTATGATTATACGTTTTCGTGACCAATATCAATGTTTTTGAGTTATTTGATTTGGATTTCCGTGACCGATTTCAAGGCATAGTAGTTTTCACATCCTGTAACTTTTTTATTTGAGTTTTAAAGATTAAGCGGTTTGATTTGGGTTTTGAAGATTGAAAGGTTTGATGATTTAATATATAATGTCTTGTAATTTTTGATTTTGAGTTGGCTTTGAATTGATGATTTGAAGATATGTCATGTAATTTTTGATAAATAATGATTTTGGTTAATATGTTTCTTTGACGTTGAATATATTAATTTGTGAATTAAATTTAATAATATGTGTTATTTGAACTTGTTTTGTCCGAAAGTTAAAATAATTTTTTTATTCTTTTAAAATATTTGTTCAGTAATATCAAACAACATTAATCATTTATATTTTTGAATGGTTCAAACATTTGAGTCATTCATGCCTTCAAATCATTCTGTTTTTTACAAACACCCTTTATTCAAAGTTTCAAACAAAGACAAAATTTAGGCATTTTGAGGGATTAAAGGTTCAATTGTAAACTCGCTGACTTAGATCAAAAGTTTGACATATCAATACTTGGCACAAACGCTAAATTAATCTATCCACATCTCAATATTTTATAAGACATGATTATGAAATAAAATCGAAAAAAAAAATCCAAATTCGTTGTCATGTCATATTATCACGTATTCACGTTATGTCATGAAAAGTATTTTAATTTGACCTCACCATTTATATTCCTTTTTAACAAGGTTTTGCGTGTGTGCCTTAACGCAAAATTTTAAGAATAGAAAAAAAACATATTCCTATATTAATAAAAAAATAATTATTAGTGTTACTTGTCATTTTTCATAATTTATATTTTCTTTTCAAATGCTCTATAAAATGACACTTTATATTTTCTCATAATAAGTTAAATAATTATTTATTTCATTCTTGATTTTTAGGAGAAATTTAAATTCGTCTTGAATAAGTTTCGGTTATAATTACCAATAGTTAATTGTATTTCTATATTGAAAATTCTACAAAATCATGTTTAATTAATAATTTATTAAAAATAATTGATTAATAATTATTAGTTTTACTATAAAAAATTAATTATTTTTGTAACCATGGTTCCCACGGGCTATAACCTAGTTTGCTAATAAAAGGGAAAAAAAGGTCAAGAAAGAAAATAAAAATAAATATATCCAATGATTTGAAAGATCGTTTACTATTTTATTTGTTTTCAACACAATTTTAAGATTAGTCCAAATGATTATATTGACGACAATTATCAATAACTACATACCGTTTTTATGATTTCAAAACCTTGCAAGATTGATCCTTGTTTAACTATATTATAAATCAAACATTAAGTCCGAATAAAATGACCAAAAGACATTTTATTTTTTATTTTTATTAATTTATTGTTTTAAAATAAATTATAGGGACCAAATAAGTAAATATAAAATAGAATGACTAAGACCTCTTAT